TTACTTGTACTCTTTTCTTGGAATGTCTTTGTCACACGTAATGGCCTCAGTCATGTTTGACGTGCTGCGTCTCCTTCTCCTTTTATGCCAACCTGCAGCGATGCACAAAAATAAAATAAAACAGCATTAGCTTTACATCTGAATTCAGGGATTGCAATACAATGTGCAACCGTGCACGCCGTCTTTGCGGCTGGGTAGTCACGAAGCAATGGTTTTAACTCTTCCCAGCTGTCAGGTTGGAGTCTGTGGCGTCATCAGAGCTTTAAGTTCATTAAGCTACGTGTGCGTTCAGTCACTCTGTCTAATCTGAAATGACAAACGAAGCAGTCAAAAGATACTCCACAGGTACCATCTGCTCAGTTAGACCTAAAGCCACGCAGAGAAACATTAAGATTTCCGGTCTCATAAGTATCTGTCTAAGCCAGCCAGAAATTCTCGGCAATATTGAGGTCAAGCCTTCATGGATTTTGCCCGTTAACCTCTTATGAAGTCTCGACACCTACAGCCCATGACCCCTGACACCACGTCTGCAAAGCTGTTTCAGTGAAAGAATCCGTTTGAATGAATGAGTTGCTGTTGTCTGCACAATGTGAAATCATTGTCAGTTTTTATTGTCTCATGACTAACAGATGGAAGCCTGTCATGGCTCAGTAAATACAAGCAATAAAAACACAATGTTCAATCTGAACGCTGCATAAAAGGAAGTTTTACTTGTGTGAGTCCCACAAGTAAAATAGTGTGTCTACTGAACTTCACATTTAGTGAAGTAAACCTGGGTTGAGGTCGCAAGATAAACTCAAGAAGTCACAAGTCTTTTGTGTTCAATAACCCATCGTCTGTATTTAAAGATGGACAAAGAATGGATGGACGATAAATATTATGCTTGAGGAAAGGAACAGCCCTTCATTGTACAGCTCCAAAATAAAGTCAGCAGGTCTATGACGACTTATATCTGCCAGATTATGATAGAAATCCTTTGTATAATGACTGAAAAACAAACTATTTGGATAAAAGAACATGTGAACAAACATCATCTTGATTAGATGTACTTAATTTGACAGAAAACATATTTGGGAAGATTCTTTTTTTTTCTTTAAATTTTTTTTGTTTGACTCATGTACCATCCACTAATATGGAGGGCTTATGACACTGCAACCAGTCGCCAGGGGCCATCCAGATATTTTTTAGTTTATACTTTCTGTTGGGAATATTTAATTTATTGAGGTGGTTGGTAAATCTCCTCAGCACATAAAAATGTGTATTTAAGTTAAAGTCAACAGGAAAATGTGGGAGGAGCCATCAGGGGAAAATCTAACACTGAGCATGTGCAAGATGAGAATTTTAAATTCCAGTGAGTAGACAATATCTTTGAGTGTTATTTTGCATTGAATTGTCACAAGCAAAAAGGTTTGTGAATAGTGCGACAAACTGACACCCCACCTTCAAGTTCCTATTAAGTATTTTTTCTGAAATGTAATAACAGCCAAACATTTCAAATGATTCTTCAAATTCAAGTTCAACTCAACAAAACGGAAGATGTGCTTTAACATTGTATGCAAAAACGAAGATATAAAATCTAATTTTCTTCTGTGGACCTCATCAAATATTCCGACAATCCTGTAGTTTTTGCTCTGATTATAAATACTAAAGTTCTGAGTTGAAGTAAATCTCTGTCTTATGATATCAGCTGCTATGTGAGGTTTCTAACTTTGCTTATGGTCAGTAATTACAACCAAAAGTTTGATTACTAATGACAATTCAAGGTCAGCTCCATAATATGACTTTATCCTCTGTTGGGTTTTGGTGGCAGGATGCCTCCTGCCTTTGTGGTGGACTTTTGTAGCCTCTGTGTGGGGAGATGGCGTCTGTAACCTCAGCTGTAGCCTGCTGCAGAGCTGCCAGTCATCTCAGCTGATGGGCCTGGAGCTCCAGACCTGCTCTCCAGCCCTCGTCCTTCTCAACCGACCTGTGTGATTGGTCCACCACAGACTGCTGACATCATCACACCTTAGCAACAGTTTTGCTTAAATGTATTTACTTTATCATCATCTAATATCATTCAACAGGGGCTGCAAGGTGGCTCTGTGGTTAGCACTGTTGCCTTGCAAGAAGGTCGCTGGCTCACATCCTGGTGATGACACCCGGGATCTTTCTGCGTGGCGTTCACATGTTCTCCCCGTGCAGCGTGGGTTCTCTCCGGGTTCTCCGGCTTCCTCCCACAAGGTCCAAAAACACATTGAGGTTAATTGGTGATTCTAAATTGTCTGTAGGTGTGAATGTGAGTGTGCTTGGTTGTCTGTCTCTAAGTGTAGCCCTGTGATAGACTGGTGACCTGTCCACGAGTGTCCCCTGCCTTCACCCTAAGTCAGCTGGGATAGACTCCAGCCCCCCATGACCCTAGTGAGGATTAAACGGTGTATAGAT